GTAATAAGCGCAGGCTCACATACTGCAGTGTTTACATATTCTAGTTGCACAACAGAGTTTAAGCTGCATTCACAAGGCAGGCATGGAACAGCAAAACTAGGCTAGACCAGAGGTCACAACACTGTTTTCTTTAAAACAGTATTTAAGATTGAAGTAAAGTAGACTGACTTAAAACTCCTTAAATAGTAATATTTAACCATAGTCACTTTTGAAGAATTTAATTTTATCTGTTCTTCATATTCCCTTCTAATATTTATACAGAATGCAGAGGAGTTTTGACTGTGGGAAGCAAAATGCTATTCATGGTCCCCGCCCAGGGTGTGGAGTGCTGTTCATACTAAACTCACAGTACTGGTTCCAAGTCAATCTCTCATAATCAGGAGTGTGTTACCAACCCACATGGCAATGAAAGATAGGGAGTGTGGGGTAATTACATACAAGAGAGACGGTCACAGATACTTCTATTATAAAATAGATGATACGTCCGATTTTGAGACGGGGTAGAGAGGTGCAAAAAAGATACTACGAACAAGGAAGAAAGAGTCGACTAGGAAAAAGTCGACCTCAGTCCTCTGCTGAGGTGAAAACCGTGAAATGGAAAGAATAAAGCAACAAAAAGAGAGTCACATCAAATTTACTACTAGTTTCCACAAGATAAACCTCTTATGTTTCTTTCTGCCCTTTCAGTAAGGATTACTGCCTTTTAAATGTAGAAAACTATCTGAAAGATTAAGTATTAACTTAATAGAAATAATCTTATATTTATAATTTTTAACTTCAACTACAGTTTCTTTCTCAGGGTCTTTCCCTTTCTTATTTTGCTCTCAAGGAAGTCAGAGCACTCAGTGCTAACCACTGCATTTTGATAGTTTACATTCTTATTTCACTGGCTACAGGATAACCACCTTACAAGATCCTACTATAGGAAAGCCCCATTAAGACACTATCTACCACAATAGAGCATGCAACACCAGAGAGCTCCATCTTAACCCCTATCCAGTGTGGTTTGCTGCAGCAAGAACCAAAAGTGCCTCATTTGAGCCTTTTTAAAAAATTATACTATCTTGTTTTACTGTATTAAAAAGTATCTAATTTTATTAGAGACGTAAGGGGTTTGTTAGGTGGTTAGAGTTGAATGCCCAACCTTCAGTCAGTAAAAAATTTTCCAAATAATGTATCTGAACTGTATCTCATTTCTGCTTGAAATCAGAATGGCAAAGTGGAAAAAATCTTATTCTGGGTTTCAAGAGATCTGGATTCTAAATACAGCTCTGTTATAAATTATGAATTATGTATCTCCTTTGGCAAATTAGCCTACTCTGGGCTTTTGAAAGTGAGACGTTTGGTTTAAATAGTATCCAGATTCCTTCTAGTACCAAACTGCTCTCCCCTGTGTTAGCTGGCTGGTTGATGTTAGCAGCTAAGGAAATGTTATAGAGGTGATTTATGTAAAGGCTCCTTTCAAGAGGATGGACTAAGGAAAGGGCTATACATGTGAGGTTGAAGCAGACAACTGTCTTCCTTTTTTTTTCTTTAAAATGATTTTATTTATTTGAGAGAGAGAGGGGAAAGAGAGAGAGCGAGCAGGGGGAGCAGCAGAGGGAAAGGGAGAAGACGACTCTGCACTGAGCGTGGAGCTGGACGTGGGGCTCCATCCCACAACCCTGAGATCATGACCTGAGCCCAAATCAAGAGTCAGATGCTTAACTGACTGAGCCACCCACGTGCCCGAGACAACGTCTTTCCTATTAGTTCAATGAGCCTCCTTACCATGCTTAAAAGGACAAACCCAAATTTGGCAGTTACTTTTCTTCCAATTGCTGTATTAACCCAATGAACACTGGAACACATCTTTTTTAAAAAATCAGAAAGTAACACAGAGTTGGAAATTCTCAGACTGGAGCTCTGAAATCTAGATGGAAATCCACAGTCTCCCATAATGATGGAAATTCTATCATTAACTAGTTACATGGTCTTGGATAAGTTATTAAATCTTCATGAGCTCAGGAATATGTACTCCAAGACCTCTTCTAATTCTGTAATTACTCATAGCCAGTAGCAACTGCCAGATTTAAAGATCACAAAAATTGTACAGAGCACTATTTTTTAAATGGCTGAAAACAAGAATATTTAAAAAAGAAATGTGTACATTAGCAACATCCACTCTTCTGCTTGATTTCTCACACATAAAAGGGATCTGTGGAGACTACTTTTCATGAGAACTAAATGGGATAAATGGGATTTGTATTGTTTTCTACTCTCTTTTCTTATTCGTATCCTAGCTAAAATTTTTATATTAGTAATCTGCACTTTTGTTTGAGCAGCTAACATAAATTATCTCACTTTTAGAAAATGCACAGCATAAAACCAGCAAATTACTCAACTAAATAACTAAGAATTATTGCTTTCGAATTCCAAACATCAAACATTCTTTCTGAAGAATACCTTTAGTCTAAAGCAAATATAATTTATTGCTACTTGTAAGTTATTATATAATAATGGAGTTTATTTAAGATGGTGTAAGCATTTCCATAATAAACCAACATTTTCAAAGTGTTTGTTTAACTTGGTTATAAAATACACTCTGGGGGAAAAATAAAAAAAAATACACTCTGGGGAAAAATAGGTAGGTTCTTTGTGAGAACAAATGCTTTTGAAAACTTCAATAGCAAAGAAAGATTTCAGGATGAAAATGGTATCAAACAATTCCATTTTATTTTTAAGAAGACATCTTTTCCTTTTCTTCTTTTCTTGTATCTCTTGTAATGAATATAACATTTCTAAATTTGGAAGTTAGGTTTTGTAACAAGTTACCATTTTTAATAAATAAGGGTCAATAATATTATATACCATCTTTGTAGATATATATGCATATTTGGAAACAAATTGTAAACAAGTTGGTCTATTTGAGTTTCTTTAACACATGTGCCTGCACACATTCCCTGACAAGATAAAAGGCTCATATGTAAACTAGGACATAGTTCGGCTTAATACTCACTTCATGGGTAATCAAAAAAATCACATATTCAAATAAAATATATCAGACTAGTGTAGCATAATTTAATGCATTTAATATATTTCCATTAGCGTTTGATTTCTTTACTGTTTAACTCTCAAAGCAAGGTTCAAGTGTAAAAAAACACTTTTCTCAGACTTAAATTATTAATTTATCAAATATTAAGCATATAATCTTTTAAAACACACATGAGAACATAAGAACAGGATTTCATTCTTGATATTCACATGTTAATAAAGTATATTATTCAATTTCTTGAATGTTAGAAAGAGTCATCTACATCACTATGTAGGTTCATTATTTTACTCTGGGACTATCACAGTTTATCTACTTGAATAATTAAGGGTTTGGGGTTTTTTCCCCATCAGGCAAGAATTCTTCGCATAAACGTCTCTTATGTTCATAAGAAGGTCAGGCTAAGTTATTATCCATATGCTAGTTGTTGTGCAACATTAAATAATCATGAAGTACAACTTGTGAAAGAGAAGACTTTAAGCTACAGAAAGTCTTTTCTGCCACAACTCTAAAAGCTTACTGATCAGAGTTAAACAGTGAAATCGTGCATATAACAAATTTCTAAGGTATTTTCTGTCCTTGAAAGTTTTCAGATCAAGATTAATCATCTCATAAAGCTGGCTGTTTTCTTTAAATGCACATACATACATACATAACCATAATATCAATTAAGTGTTCAATAATTTCCTTTATAATTTTAAATTCACCAATTTGCAATTCCTGAATTGAAAAAAAGCAGCAAAGCTTCTTTTACTAGAAGTAAAGCATAATGTGTAGAGTATGTTCAGTCCAAAACTATGCCTAAGCCTAAGTAAAAGAACAAACCTTTAGCAGAGCACTTTAAAGGTATTTTTGATCTATGTAATCAAAAATATTCCACTGGAACAATGGCCTTAAAAATGAATTATGACCCTTGATTATGCCACGACTCTTGTTTTAAATTTCTCTTTCAGCTATGTCCCAAAGTTTGTCTATAAGGGGAGATAACAAAACTTTAATCTTCAAAAATGTAGAGATTAGACTGATAATTCAACTTTGTTTTCTCTTCCATTGATTTATGTTAAAAATTGCCTCTATCTATGTCTAACACATAATTTTATTCTATTCAATACATTGAGGTTTGTGTGCCTATCAGGTATTTTTGAATCAGAACTTTGCCCTGCAAATAAGAATTTGTCATTGATAAAGTTGTTTTTTAATGCACCTCATATTAATATTGTAATAATTTGATTTGTTAATCACTTTACATTCACTACCTAATCTACTTTTGTTAAGCCCATTTTACAGATGGAGTAACTTACACTCCACTTGGGAGGGAGTAAGCCCAGTTGCTGAAGGAAGTATCATGTAGCTACTGATGTAGTAAATAATTCAAACCTAGGCTGTCTAACTCTATATCTATAAACCTAAATACCATGACTTTTAAAATACAGATTTAAAACTTCATTCCAAACCAAACAAACTCTAGGAGTTGTGTCCCTGTTTTTTTTTTTTTTTTTTTTTGAGATTGGTGGTTTGGGAACCAATGCACTATCACCAGGCTACTCTGCCTTCCTAGGATTGCTGGTTTTTATTAACTGCCTCTTATTTCCATGAACCAGACCTTTAGGGAAGCCTCTTTTGAGAGTGCAAGATACACGGTGCTGGGGAGGATTAAAAAGATGTAGAAAACATGGCTCCTGCCTTGAGAAGTTTACAATCTAAAAACATGTTACCCAAAATATTGAAGGGCTATAAAAGTGCCTGGACTGGGATGCTTACTAGAGATGAATGTGTGGGAGCAGTGTAGTTTGATTAGAGTTTTGGTGGAAAGGAGGACAGAAACTGACAGAGAAGAGACTAACCTGGGTATAAAGCTTTGGCAGTGGAAATAAACTTGTGGAATGGTTTAATAACCCTTCTTTATTTCAAAACACAATTTTCAATATTTCAATTCAATTCTTTCTCAAATGCATACAAATTTACTAACCTTCTACATTCATGGCTTCTCTCAGAACCTGAAGTTTCTTTTGTCTTTCTCGAATTCGGTCCAAAGCACTCGATATTGCTGAGGAAGTGGGCAAATCTCGCATGTGAAACACTGGATCCACTTTTTGAGGGCCAAAGATATCCAAGGCCATGCTTCCATCTGAGTATCTTGCTTCCTTTTTTCTAGGAGTAGTTGAAGTCCGCACCGTTACTGCCTCAGGGAGATATTGTCGGAATCCACCAGTTTCCACAGAAAAGTCTCTGTCAGCTGTGCAAAGCAAGTCCATGGATGAAGCCCAAATCTTCTTCTTGGGAAGCACATCAATACCAGGGAAAGTTTTTTTTTCTGGGCCACTAGTTTTGAACTGGTAAGGGGAGCAGGCATTTTCAGAATCTTCGTGTCCAGAATTATTATCTGATGAAATGTCCTTGAAATAATCTTCCTCATCTTGTGTGTCTCTGATGGACAGAAATCCCATAGATTTACTAAGCCCTTTGTTAAGAAAGGTCTGATGAGAGAATGGAGACTTGTGTATGTCTAGTACATCAGAAGTAGAGCTTCTTCCTGGAATGATAAGAATCTATCATGTATGCACAGAATTTTTAGAAAATAACTGGAATGTAACCTTACTATTGACAGTGAAAGTGCTGGTAATTTCCTAAGTCTTCCTAATGGAGGATCAGAGATGAAATGGATGGTAGTGATCATGAAAGTGGAAAGAGACACTGTTTGATTAACTTTTCATAGTCCAATGTTTCTTACTCAATGAAAACTATAATGTATCGAACTTTTTTTAGTAGTATTTTATATTCATCAAAGGTGAATTATTTGTTTTAAAAACAGACAAAAGTAAAAATAAAATAAGCAAAAGTTTCTAATACTATCCAGTTTGGCAGAATATTAATTTAATCCGTGAGATGATTTGGGGTAATAATAGAATGTAGAGTATACTCCTTTAACTTTTAAAGATATAATTCAAACATGTATCACTTCAACATAAAGCCCTGGTATTTTCTGGTCATTTAAATATTTTTAAAGAAGAAACAAAGAATTCTTGCTATATTCTGGATGAAAAAAAGATTGCAGCATTTGGAATTCTTAAGTATCCAAGTTTTATTATGATATGTTTTCAGAAAATTTGATATAATCTGGGGCGCCTAGGTGGCTCAGTCGTTAAGCATCTGCCTTCGGCTCAGGTCATGATCCCAGGGTCCTGGGATCGAGCCCCGCATCAGGCTACCTGCTCAGTGGGAAGCCTGCTTTTCCCTCTCCCAACCCCCTGCTGTGTTCCCTCTCTCTTTGTATCTCTCTGTCAAATAAATAAATAAATAAAATCTTTAAAAAACAAAAAACCAGTAAGCCATTCTAATTTTTTTAATGGCACCAGTCTATAAATGCATTGAGACACAGCAAAAATGCCCAATCAGAAATTAATTTTTGGAATTCAGAGTAATACAAAAAATCGTGTGTGTGTGTTTGTGTGTGTGTGTGTGTGTGTGTGTGTGTGTGTGTGTATGGCTCCACTATAGAAAAAGAAATGTAGAAAAATACTTTAGAGTTACTAATGCAAAAGCCCATAAACACTGAAGATTTCCTGTGTGACCTTCTGCGATCCCTCTTTGATAACTTATTTGCTATGTATACAATATAAAATAATGACTAAAACTTCCCTAGTAATAATAAATTGCTTAGTAACTCATTTGAATAAGTCAATTTCCTCTCCAGGGTGATAGCTCTAAGTTTCAATTCCCTGACTCAACATTTCACCTTAAAGATCTTAGAAAAGAGAATTCATTTCAGAATGGTCAACAAATAACTGCTTACTGGAAAATTAGATTCAAACATTTTGCTTTTCTTGCAACTCATCTTTCCCTGAACATGGATCCACTGAAGTGCAAATAAGGATAAGACCAATATTTGGGTATGTCATATAAAGAACACTGAGAAAATAACACACCACAACTAGACAAAGATTGTCACAGACTTTAGCTTCTAATCTAAGCTAATTTAAAACTGATAAACACATCTACATTATAGTATTTTAGGAGTAAATTACATTCTTAAACCACATACTGAAACTCAGTAGTTTAAAATTTTATTGAAAAATAGAGAACAGAGATATTCTTGAAAATTGATAGAATACATTAGGTAAAAATTAAGAATTGAAAGGACTTAAGGATCATACAACCATAGATGAACTCAACAACCTGCTTTCCTTTATACTGCCTTGACTCCCAACAAGTAGCCAAAACTTAGAGAAAATCAAATAAGTGAGGATTTTGGCAACATCATAAATTCATAGTCAAAAACCCTGGATACTCAACATCAATGTGTTAACAGTAATTTCACTCACTCTCCACAATGCTTCACTTTTCCTCATTCTTCAAATTTCCCACATTAATTCCCTCTTCTCTTTTCTGATGATCTTTTCTCGTATTTCATCAAGAGAATAGAATCTTTCCGAAGAGAGCTTCTCATTTTCCCATGGCTAATTATATATATCTACCCGTGTCTGCCAATCTTTTCCCTTGTCTCAAAAGATGCAATTTTCTACCAGTTGAAGCCTCATTCCCAATATGTGTTCAATCCCCCTCTTATTTTACATTATCAGAGATTTTACTTCTTTGGTTAACATCTGCCCTCAATCTTAATTAACCCCCCTTTTCTACTGAGTCATTGTTTAAAATTTCATTAAAAAATAGAGAACAGAGATATTCTTGAAAATTGATAGAATACATTAGGTAAAAAATAAGAATTGAAAGGACTTAAGGATCACACAACCTTAGATGAACTCAACAACCTGTCTTCTTTTATACTGCCCTGACTCCCAACAAGTAGCCAAAACTTAGAGGAAATCAAACAAGTGAGGGTTTTGGCAACATCATAAATTCACAGTATACAAACGTGCTTTAATATTTCTATAATAAACAAAACCTCTCCCGTTACCACATTTCCTTCTAGCTCCTGCTGTCTCCAATTTCTTCTTTCCCATTAGTATTCTGCTCACTTTAGTCAACCTCCAACTCCTCCACACCTTGGCAACTCTCATTATGTAAAACTAATGACCTCCATATGGCTAAATCCAACAGATATTTTGTATCTACATCTTACTTACCTCTCAGCAACAACTGATGGTGATGACAGTTACTTAATGAAGCACTTTCCTCTCTTTACAAGACTGGTTTTCTTCTACTTCTTAGACTGCTCATTCTTAGTCTTTGCTTTTTCTCCTCTACTGGATATCCAAATGTTGGATTTCCTCAGGTATCAGTTTTAGAACCCCATCTTTTCACTCTCTTCTTGTATAATTTCATCTACTAACAAGGCTTTAAATAATTAACTACATACAGATAACTCCCAAATTTATATTCTTGGCACCAATGTCTTCTGTGAGCTCCAATCACATATAATTGAGACTTCTACTAGCATATCTTAGAAGCACCTCAAACTGAACAAGCTTAATACTATTTTTTGTTTCCCAAAACCAGAGATGTCCATTCAACCCCAATCTTTCCAATTTCAATAAGTGGCATCACTGTCCAACTGACTGCTCAAAACAGAAATCTGGGCATGATCCTGAAATCCTTCATCATCCTTACTGCCTGTATCAAATCCATCAGAAGTGCTGGTTATTTAACTTCTCAAAGATATCTTACTCCATGTGATTATCTGCATTTTCACTGGCATCACCCTATACCCAGTTAACATTATCACTTGACTAGAAAACTGCAATGGCTTCTGGACAGGCCTCCTTTCTTCACCCAACTACCCCTCTACTCAGCAGCCATTGTTATCTTCTCAAAATATAAATTCCATGATGCCACCACCCTTTTTAGCAAGTCTCAAAGGCATACTATCGCACTCAAAATAAAAACAAGACTCCTTTCAGATCTGCCATTTGAATCTTTTTGTCTCCTCTCCACTTCTTTCATTCCATCCAGGCCACAAGTTTTCCTACTAAGCTCTCTTATATGTTAGGACCTTTTATACATACTGTTTTCTATGCCCTGAATGGTCCAGACTTTTCTCATGGTTAGTTGTTTCTTATTCTATACTTTTAATTTTTTTAATTTTTTTATTAAAGATTTTATTTATTTGAGAGAGAGAGAGAGCACGAGAGGGGGAAGGGTCAAGGGAGAAGCAGACTCCCTGCCCAGCAGGGAGCCCGACGCGGGACTCGATCCAGGGACTCCAGGATCATGACCTGAGCTGAAGGCAGTCGCTTAACCAACTGAGCCACCCAGGCGCCCTATATTTTTAAATACAACTTCTTTAGTGAGGACTACCCCAACCACTACTGAAATAATCACTTTCCAAGTGTATCATGAGTCTGTTGCATTTCGAACAGGTAGATTTATCATTCTCTTGTAGGTTATTAGTATTTACTAACAATATATTAATGGGCTATGGTATCCTAAAAGGCCGTGTCTTCTCACCAGCCATATGAGACTTAAAACTAATTGCTAATAAGGTAGCTCCTGGATAACTACTGCTCTATAAATGCTAGGTTTTTGCATAATATTTCAGTTCTTATTTATTGTAAGTCCAGAAAGTTATACCTGATCTTAGCCAAAAGGCCGAGAAGCGATTAAAAAAGTCCAGAAAGTTAAAGGAAAAAAAAAAGTCCAAAACGTTACCATTTTTAAGTTCTGTAAGGTAGTACAAAATTATAATGAAAGTAATTCATTTAAAAGTTTGCACTACCTTTCTACTCTGCTTCTACAAAATATGCCAAATTTAACTATTTCTTAATTTGCTCTACATGCCTGAAAAATCACATTATGATAGCCAACTTAAAATCTCATGACCATTATTTATATAGATGATTTTTTTGCTATAATAAGGTCTCTTCTGGTAGCAATAAAACAAACAAATCAATGGGTAAATAGGAAGAGGAAGAAAGTAGGGGTGGGGAGGGATTGATACTCCTGAGGAAAATGGGCAAAAAATTGTGGAGGTGCAAAACAAAGTTCAGAGGGATATGTATATATATACTTGTTAGAGATTGTCTGAAGTAAAATCGTAAGTTATGAGCCACAAAAGCATTAAAGGTTTAGAAACTGAGTGTGGATCACCTTTTGAAGGAAGAAAAAGGAAGTGGTAGGGAAGAGATGTTTGGGCCGCACATGCCTGCACCTGCCCGAGGGGCAGGGAGGCCAGTTGTGCCTGATGGTGGGAGGTAGTAACCCCCACTTCTCTTCCGCAGGTGGGAGAGTTAAGACGACCTCTCAAAGAAAACACAGTGAAAGATACTGATATCAAGAGACTATTGTATATCCATTTTTTATGCATATTTTCAATGATCCTAAGTATCAGTCCATCATTCTTCTTGGAGAACGTCTCAATATTGGAAACACACTTGTCCATCTGTTGTTTTTGTAACTGCTGTCAGTCTAGTATTATAGTTAGTAGTGAAACCAAATGCATCCTCTAAAAGTTCATTATCATACAAGGTAACCAGATTTTTGAAATGCTGTTTATGTCATGTTCCTTCTTTCGTGCAATTTTTGTTCCATATGTGCTGGAAACATTTTTATTTGCAGTTATTTTGTCTACTTTTACTA